CTCAAACCTGGGGCCACCACCTGCCCATGTTCTCCTTCCAAACCCCCATGGGCACTGGAAGGGAACTCCCTGGAAGGAAGGGCGGGAGGCCTCTTGTTCTGCTCTGCCATCCTGGGTGCGGGGCCTGACCACTCAGGTTTTGTAGAATAAAGGAATATGAGCATGCAGGGCAAGAGGGAATCTCTGTTTCTTAGAAGGGAGTGGAAATTGCTCTGGAACACACCTGGCAGGTGGGCTGCTCCCTCTACACCCCTCCCAGGCGGCTGAAGCCATGGAAGAAGACAAACCTATTTTCTCCTCTGTCTTCCCTCTTCTTCCCACCTCTGTGTGGGGAGCCAGGGCACAGCCCACTTCCATGGACAGCCTGAGACTGGGTTCCAGACCCCAGCATCTCTCCCATCCAAGTATTAACCTGGCCCGACCTTGCTTAGCTTCCGAGATAAGACGAGATCAGGCACGTTCAGGGTAGTATGGCCATAGATGTTCCCTGGCATCTCTATGGGAGCCATGCCAACCCTTAGCCCTCGTGTGTGTGTAAGTGTGTGTGTGTACACAGGTCTGCTGTGTGCGTATAGGAGGGATATCACAATTCTGCCTGCAAAGCCTGACAGCCAACAAAAGGGGTGAAGTTTACTACGGTCTGGGGCACAGGGGGAGAGGTGGGGACTGTGGCAAAGGAGACCCACCCAAAGAGGGGGCCACAACTCAGCCCCAGAAGGGCCAACTCTTCCTACCTGCTAAGAGGAGCTGGAGATTCTTACTTTTAGGTGAAATCTTGAGATTTTTAAGTGTCTCAAATTCATAACACGCTGTGTTGGTGAAACAAAGGCTATCAGCAGGCCCACAGAGGCAACCAGAAGGAAGCCTAGCTGGGTGGGGAGGAGGGGGAAGGAGAGGGGCTCAGTCAGCAGATTATATTTCACAAGCCCTAACCTGGCTTCTTTCCAGGGAGTCTCGCATGCTTTGAGCTGCGGCTGTGGTTGGGAATTTCCCCAACACCACTGGTCCCCCCACTGCAGAGCCCTGACCTTCACACACAGAGGTGAGAGCCAGCACACTCAGGAACAGCCCTTTGGAGCTGGAAAGGGCCTTAGTCCAGTGTGGAATCTGAGGCCTGGGGAGGTCAAGGGACTCACCCTAGGTCACTCCTGGCTGCCTGCTGTCCCATCTGTCAATTCCTAATGCCACCCTATCACACAAACATGAAATTCTGCTTGGAAGCAGCCCAGTGACATAAAAAGCCAATACTCCACCCATTGTTACCTTCTATTTAATTTTCTAGAACTCCCTCCCTCCCACCCCATCCACATACAGCCTTCTCACCTCTTGTGGCTTTTTCTGGAGCCTTAAGATTTCACACAGTACTGACTTGGGAGGGTCGGGGGTGGGGGTGGGATTCAGTTAGGGATCCAAACAGAAAATGAGCTGAGATACCAGCTTGGTCCTTTCTAAGTCCACTCATGCCCCTCTGCAGCTCCAGGAGGCAGGGGGTAACATCCACAGCTCTGTGCTGAATAGACACCGGATGTACCTGGTGTTTCTAGGGATCTGTGAGTAAAAACTCTTCTTTCCTCACAGTCATTGCCATGACTGCATGTCTTCCTACCTCAAGCCCTCTCACAGCTCCTGACCTTTGTGTCCCTCTGCCCATTGCAGATGACAGCAGGCAGCCACTGCAGTCTGGTTCCAGGAGCATAGGGGGAGCTCTGACAGAAGGCCAGTCGCCGTGCCTGAAAATTCTATCAGTCAGCGTCTGAGTCTGAAGGATTTTTCTTCTTGAAAAGTTACTTACTAAAATGTAAATACTCTGAGGAGGGAGAACCCTGCTCCTCTGTCTGAGCACTGGCTGGATTCAGGCACTGCTCACTTGGGAGCAGACGGGTCTAAGCTGAGTCTGAGAGGACAAAGGGCAAGTGTGTACCCCAGTGGGGCGGCCCTTCATTCAGACGCACAGAGGAGAAGCACCTTGCCTAGCCTGGGGAGTTCAGAAGAGGCTTTCTGAGAAAAAGGCTTTGGAGCTGGGTCCTTAGGAGGAGCAGGTGTTAGTGAAAATGCAGGGTGGAAGGCAGGGAAGGTGAGAGGGTGCCAGGCAGAGGAAATAGCAATATGCAAAGGCCTAGCGACAGAGCAGAGTGGGTTTGAGAATCTGCATGTCACTCAGCATTGAGTGACAGACAGCGGGTAGCAGAGGAGCCGGAAGCCTGTGAGCCATAAGGGGTTTGCTCTTCCCACTGTGGGCTAGTGGGCACCATGGGAGGCTTTAAGCAGGGAAAGGACCCAGTTAGATTTGAAGTATAGGAACAGTGCTCTACTGAAGCAGGGAGACTGGGGGGTTGGATTCGTGATGGGAGAGAAGCGCCAGGCAGGAAGCTAGTGCAGGAGCTCCAGTGAGGGGCGGCGGCCTGCGTGCAGACTGTGCCATGTCGGATCAGGAAGTCAGTGATCCAGGGCAAGGCAGAGAGTACCATCCCTGACTCCATCCTGAGTCCAGCCTCTGGACTCCATTAGAGCAGGACTCGCTCCCGCTTCCCCCTCCACAGGCCCCCGTCCCTCCCTGCCGGCCTCTGGCCAGGGTACAGGCTCCGCTATCGATACCTGGCTGGTCCGCGTGATGCAGCGGCGGATGAGGTCCCGGATGTTGTTGTGCTTGTCTGTCTGGAAGTACACGGTGGCACTGGACTTGTCCTTCAGGTAGGGCTTCTCGGCCAAGGCCCAGGTGTGCAGCAGGGTCAGCTCACTGCCCTCGGAGGCCATGGGGAAATAGGTCCCAGACTGTAGGGAGCAGGAGTCGTGTCCCCTGGGGCCAGACTCGGCCCCTCCCAGAGGCTCTGGAGCAGAGGGGGGCTCCTTGGCCTGGGCCTGGATATACTGGGCCTCCACGGAGGACAAGAAGTCCACCTCACCTTCCTGGCTGAGTACCTGCCAGTAGGCCTCGGGACCCCCATCCAAAAGGGCATCTGTTGCCAGCCGGGCACTCTCATTGTCGCTGAAGTCAGCCCTGGCTGGCCGGACCCACTGGCTCTTGACATCTTCCAGGCGTTTCCGAATCTTACCTACATGCCTGGACCAGCTCATGCTGCCCTCTCCCTGAGTTGTGGCAGGGGGCCAGCACTTGAGGTCTTGCTGATGGCAGGGGCACGCGGGCCACAGTGCGAAGTGGAGCCCTCCGCGCTCTGGGAAGGCACAGTCAGGATCCAGGACTACGTGCCACCTGCTGCACCACTGAGGAAGCAATTTGCTGTTCTCCTGAGCAAGGCTTCCCAGGGATCATCAACTACAATGGAGGGGTTGGCTTATCACTGAGCAACACCTGCCCTGCCCATGGGCCAGGAGGGCTGGCTCAATCTCACCTTGGCACACCCAGCCCTGGGAGATTTCCTCTCCTGCCAGCGGCAGAGGGAGGCCAAGGTGAGGTGGCCTTCCAGTTCATTGCACAACTCCAGGAGACCCTCAGGCCTTGTTTGCAAAGCCGGAGTAGAGGTTGTGGGGGTGGTGGGGGCTTTCCCAGCACCAGCACTCCCGTGCCTCAGGTCCCCTCCTGTGCACCTCAGTCCAAGTAGATTGGTTCAAAGACAAGAACTTCCCTGTGGGGAAGATGCTACCCCTGGATCTGCCCTCAGTGTGAGGAGGGAAGCTGGACACAGGCCAGGCAGAGCCGTTCACCAGGTGCTCCTCCTTTCTCTTGGTAACACCCCAAGTTCCCAGCCCTCCCATCATCTGAAAAAGCTCTTCTCTCTCTCTCTCTTTCTCATTGTCTTTGTCAAGGTTGTGTTCGAACAGAGCCGCCGGAGAGGTTCCAGTCCTGGGGCCAGGGCTGAGGTGGAAGCGGCTGTGGCTGTGGCTGCTCAGAACACTGTCTGGAGCAGAATCTGGGCCCACTGACCAAAGGGGTGGGTCTGTCTGGGTGCTGGAGGGCCAGGTGGCAGCAGGTGTGTTTGAAGTACACAAGCAGCTAATGGAGAAGCCACATTTTCTTTCCAGATCAGATCATGGACAATTCCTCGTCAATGGAATGCAGTATCTACAGTCTTTGATTGGGTTCTGCCAGAAATACACTGAGACTAGAATCCATACAAGTAGCTTGTTGGATGGTGATGGTGAGAAGTCCAGGCAGGGGAGGGGGATTGAACAGGAGGAGGAGAGGGCAGCCACTCCAGGGTATGTCAGTGAGTGTGTTACCGACACAGCTCCTGACCTTTGTGTCCCTCTGCCCATTGCAGATGACAGCAGGCAGCCACTGCAGTCTGGTTCCAGGAGCATAGGGGGAGCTCTGACAGAAGGCCAGTCGCCGTGCCTGAAAATTCTATCAGTCAGCGTCTGAGTCTGAAGGATTTTTCTTCTTGAAAAGTTACTTACTAAAATGTAAATACTCTGAGGAGGGAGAACCCTGCTCCTCTGTCTGAGCACTGGCTGGATTCAGGCACTGCTCACTTGGGAGCAGACGGGTCTAAGCTGAGTCTGAGAGGACAAAGGGCAAGTGTGTACCCCAGTGGGGCGGCCCTTCATTCAGACGCACAGAGGAGAAGCACCTTGCCTAGCCTGGGGAGTTCAGAAGAGGCTTTCTGAGAAAAAGGCTTTGGAGCTGGGTCCTTAGGAGGAGCAGGTGTTAGTGAAAATGCAGGGTGGAAGGCAGGGAAGGTGAGAGGGTGCCAGGCAGAGGAAATAGCAATATGCAAAGGCCTAGCGACAGAGCAGAGTGGGTTTGAGAATCTGCATGTCACTCAGCATTGAGTGACAGACAGCGGGTAGCAGAGGAGCCGGAAGCCTGTGAGCCATAAGGGGTTTGCTCTTCCCACTGTGGGCTAGTGGGCACCATGGGAGGCTTTAAGCAGGGAAAGGACCCAGTTAGATTTGAAGTATAGGAACAGTGCTCTACTGAAGCAGGGAGACTGGGGGGTTGGATTCGTGATGGGAGAGAAGCGCCAGGCAGGAAGCTAGTGCAGGAGCTCCAGTGAGGGGCGGCGGCCTGCGTGCAGACTGTGCCATGTCGGATCAGGAAGTCAGTGATCCAGGGCAAGGCAGAGAGTACCATCCCTGACTCCATCCTGAGTCCAGCCTCTGGACTCCATTAGAGCAGGACTCGCTCCCGCTTCCCCCTCCACAGGCCCCCGTCCCTCCCTGCCGGCCTCTGGCCAGGGTACAGGCTCCGCTATCGATACCTGGCTGGTCCGCGTGATGCAGCGGCGGATGAGGTCCCGGATGTTGTTGTGCTTGTCTGTCTGGAAGTACACGGTGGCACTGGACTTGTCCTTCAGGTAGGGCTTCTCGGCCAAGGCCCAGGTGTGCAGCAGGGTCAGCTCACTGCCCTCGGAGGCCATGGGGAAATAGGTCCCAGACTGTAGGGAGCAGGAGTCGTGTCCCCTGGGGCCAGACTCGGCCCCTCCCAGAGGCTCTGGAGCAGAGGGGGGCTCCTTGGCCTGGGCCTGGATATACTGGGCCTCCACGGAGGACAAGAAGTCCACCTCACCTTCCTGGCTGAGTACCTGCCAGTAGGCCTCGGGACCCCCATCCAAAAGGGCATCTGTTGCCAGCCGGGCACTCTCATTGTCGCTGAAGTCAGCCCTGGCTGGCCGGACCCACTGGCTCTTGACATCTTCCAGGCGTTTCCGAATCTTACCTACATGCCTGGACCAGCTCATGCTGCCCTCTCCCTGAGTTGTGGCAGGGGGCCAGCACTTGAGGTCTTGCTGATGGCAGGGGCACGCGGGCCACAGTGCGAAGTGGAGCCCTCCGCGCTCTGGGAAGGCACAGTCAGGATCCAGGACTACGTGCCACCTGCTGCACCACTGAGGAAGCAATTTGCTGTTCTCCTGAGCAAGGCTTCCCAGGGATCATCAACTACAATGGAGGGGTTGGCTTATCACTGAGCAACACCTGCCCTGCCCATGGGCCAGGAGGGCTGGCTCAATCTCACCTTGGCACACCCAGCCCTGGGAGATTTCCTCTCCTGCCAGCGGCAGAGGGAGGCCAAGGTGAGGTGGCCTTCCAGTTCATTGCACAACTCCAGGAGACCCTCAGGCCTTGTTTGCAAAGCCGGAGTAGAGGTTGTGGGGGTGGTGGGGGCTTTCCCAGCACCAGCACTCCCGTGCCTCAGGTCCCCTCCTGTGCACCTCAGTCCAAGTAGATTGGTTCAAAGACAAGAACTTCCCTGTGGGGAAGATGCTACCCCTGGATCTGCCCTCAGTGTGAGGAGGGAAGCTGGACACAGGCCAGGCAGAGCCGTTCACCAGGTGCTCCTCCTTTCTCTTGGTAACACCCCAAGTTCCCAGCCCTCCCATCATCTGAAAAAGCTCTTCTCTCTCTCTCTCTTTCTCATTGTCTTTGTCAAGGTTGTGTTCGAACAGAGCCGCCGGAGAGGTTCCAGTCCTGGGGCCAGGGCTGAGGTGGAAGCGGCTGTGGCTGTGGCTGCTCAGAACACTGTCTGGAGCAGAATCTGGGCCCACTGACCAAAGGGGTGGGTCTGTCTGGGTGCTGGAGGGCCAGGTGGCAGCAGGTGTGTTTGAAGTACACAAGCAGCTAATGGAGAAGCCACATTTTCTTTCCAGATCAGATCATGGACAATTCCTCGTCAATGGAATGCAGTATCTACAGTCTTAATTGGGTTCTGCCAGAAATACACTGAGACTAGAATCCATACAAGTAGCTTGTTGGATGGTGATGGTGAGAAGTCCAGGCAGGGGAGGGGGATTGAACAGGAGGAGGAGAGGGCAGCCACTCCAGGGTATGTCAGTGAGTGTGTTACCGTTGTGACATCTGAGGCTTTATGAACATTTTGGGAACCGCTGGGGTCAGTGCTGCTGGGCCCTCCAGGAGACAGTATAGAGTGCATCTCAGAGCTTTCCTACCCAAAGGGTGAGAAAGCTGCAGGATTTATCCACCACCGCATCCAAGGTTGGGGCTCCTGGGACCACATTCATTCCCTAGCGCCCATGGGCTTGCCCTGTGGCCCACCCAGCACAGCTCTGAAGCCAGAGAAAGCCTCAGGCCAAGGCGTCGGTGCACAGCAGGAGGCTATTGAGTGGGGGGTGCTCCTGGGGTAGAAGCAGGGCCCTGACAATACCTGCTAAGAGAACTGCACTGGGAACTGGGACTGCAGGGGCCTCAAACAGCGAGCCACAGTGCCAGACACCTCCCTGCGGCACAGCTACTCTGGAAGGAAAGTTGCTATTGGCACTGTAACCCACTGAAGCTGTGGTCCGACTGGCTCAGTCCAGTAGTGGAGTAATATTTTGAAAGGCACAGTCCATAGAAGAGAAAAGTAAACTAAAAGGAATTTCTTCTCCTTATTTGAAGGACACTGAAGGAATCCAATTTGCGACCTCGGGCAACTCTCTCTCGATTCCATTTCTTCTTCTCCCTGCAATCTCTGGAACCTCGGTAAGAGCAACCCTAACAAAGTCTCTCCCTGTCGCCCCTCTGGCTTCCTGCCCTCTCCCTTCTGCCAGCTCTTGCTTACGCAGGTTGATTTGACCTCTTTCCCACACTCTCCTCTGATCTTCCCTCCTCTCTGGCCCAGCTGTGGCCACCTCAGTGCCCAGTGCCCAGGTAGGCAGACAGACGTGAGGAGGGAGCCATCATCCATAGCATTTACTCCAGTTCACTCCAGGGCTCAAGAACCAGGTCCCAAGCCTAGTGTTCAAGACGCTGCATGTTTGAGACACGTGAGAGCATTGCAGCCTGACCTCTCCTGCACTTGGTCATCACTGAGTGCTCATTGCATGCTGGCTGTCTATGCTGAGGGAGACACAGATTATTAGGGTTCATTTTACAGATGAGGAAACCAAGGCTCAGAGAAGTTAAGTAACTTGCCCAAGATCACACAGCTAGTAAGGGACAGAGCCTTGGCACTGTCACTCCAAAGCCCAAATATTTTCCACTGTGCCACACTTCAGTCTTTCCTTTTCCTTCTCTACCCTCGGAACCATCCAGATCTCTTATTAGTTCCAGAATGTGTGTAGGAGACAGTGGAAGGAGTGGGTGGATGATCTAGGTTCACCTCTCACTTAGGCCTAATTCTCTTTGCTAGATGAATAAATGATTGAGGGACCCCTGAAAAGTGGCAGATCGCTTGCACTGTCCTCTATGTAAGAACTTATTCACTATGTAAGAACTTGTTCACCATGTAAAAACTTGTTCATTATGCTTCAGAAGATTGGAGACTGTTGAGAATTAGGCATGGGGTTGATTAATGATTGTGCATTGAATCCCCTATACAGAATTTTATTGTTAACAACCACATGATCAATAAATATGAGAGATGCCCTCTCAAAAAAAAAAAAAAAGTGGCAGATTGCCATGGCTGTTAGGAACTATTTTCACCTGGCTACTTGGAGAGCAGCTCTCATTAAAAAAATTTTTTTTAAAGAATCTTTGAGTGGAACTTTCCCCACTAGAGCTGCTGAAGGAAGAAGAGCCCAGCTTCTCTTGTCCCCACATCCTTGCCTCTCACAGACCCAAGATATTCTAGTTGAATCCTTTAGCATAGACAGCAGACACACTCCACAGGCGCTGTTACACCTTATCCTCCCTTCCTGTGCTCCTGGCAGACATTACTAGCTGATCACAGAACTCTTTCCTCGGGAGCTCGGAACCATCCCCTCACTGCTCTTTATAGGGCTCAAAGAGAAGTCTTTGGAAGGGATCTTGGATGTCCTGCAAGTCACTCCAGTTTACTAATGAGAACATGGTAGCTCAGAAAGGGGGAGGCACACAGCTGGCCAGTGACTGTCATCAGCACTGTCCCTCATCTCTGCTTCTCTGCAGCCCCGGCCCTGAGAAATGCCATCATTCCTGCTGGGGCCCCTGGCTGAAATAACAAACTCCCCCACCTGAAACTGCACTTCCGGATCAGGAAGTCTGGCCTGCTGTTGAGCCACAGCTTCATACATTGTGAAATCCTCACCAAAGAGCCCTCAGTTCCAGGCACTGTGGTTACGGACGACTGACTTGCCATCCTCCTTCCTGCAGCCTGAAGTGTAGTCTCTCCTCAGGAGGACAAAGGGGAAACAATGAGAAGCCAGGTTCCTATCAGCAAATGCGCGGTGTTGGGGCTTCCTGAGAATTCTGTTTATCTGGGGCAACAGTTCTCCACTGGGACAGTCTTGCCCCCACCCACGGGGCATCTGGCAATGTCTGAAGACATTTTGGGTTGTCACCACTGTGGAGGTAAGCCACTGCATCAAGTGGGTAAAGCCAGGAAGGCCTCTACATCCTACAGTGCATGGGGCAGCCGCCACAACAGGGAACGAGCTACCCTCCATGTCACCAGAACTGAGGTGAGGAACACTGGCCCAGGGCTCAGGCAGCTGAGCTCAGGAAGGGGCTGTGGGGTGTGTGGCTGACCCCGCCCATGTGGGAGCGCTGGTCCCTGCCTTCCTTCAGCCTGTCCCCTCAGCTGGAGGTCTTTGCCTCCACCATCACAACTTACTCAAATCTTCCTCAGCATTCAAGGTCAGCCTCAATTCCCCTCTGCGGGAGGGAGCCTTTCGCTTGTAGAACTTGTAGGTATATGTCTCATCTCCCCCACTGCAGCAGCAAAAATGCTTCCAGGCCTTGGGGATCAGCCACAACTGGGTTCAGACTGTGCCTGTGCTAATGTGTGGCCCTGGGTAGGTCACAGAGGATGTCGCTGCCCATACCGTAACAGCGAACACTCAGGAACATGTCCTGTGTCCCAGGTGCTAGTCCAAGTGCTTTGCGTGTGTTAACTTGATCCTCACAGCAGCCCTATGAGTAAGCGCTGTTACTCTGTTTCACGGAGGAAGGCCTGAAGCCCAGAGGTTACCAAGGTCATCTGGCCGGGAAGTGGCAGTGCCAGGAGCTACACAGGTGGTCTGGTCCAAGTCCGCCCGGTAACCACAGCGCCTTCTGCCTCTTTCATGGGATAAACCTCAAAGGGGAGAAGCCTGAACGATTCAGCCGCTCTTCAGCCTGATGTTGCCAATGTTTCTTTTTGGGCTTTTTCCATAGTTGTACTACATTGTATATATTATATACTATATGCAATATGATACTATATATGCAATTTTATATCTTGCTTTCTTTTATAGCTTAGGATACTCCGAAGTGTATTTTTCATATCATTTAAAATGTCTGTGCTTCCCCTTCCCTGGCCCCTCACACTTTTCTTCCTGAACAACAGTCCTAAAACCTTTGGGTGGGTCATAAAAAGGTAGGTTGTAGTGGTGGGAAAATTTTGAAAATGTTTTAAAGATGTTTTTTCAGAATGTTTTTTAGGTGGTCCCACGGGGAGGAGATAGACTGACAAATCCTGAGACCCCCTACAGGACAATAGGAGAAGATAGGGGAAGGGATGGCCTCAGGGGCCTAGAGGTTGGGGAGTCGGGGTGGCGGGGGAGAGTCCTGCTGCAAACACACGGAATCCTATCACAGCCCTGCAGTGTTTTTGTACACGAGGAAACTGAGGCACAGGGAGGTAAGCAAATTCCTCCAGGGCCCCAAGGCAGCACCTAGGTTGGATTTGTCTCCAAAGCCCCCTTGCTCCTATCTGCAACCAGATTCAGTAATGGCTGGTTTAAGTGAGAATCTCCTCCTTCAGACTGTGAGCAATTCAGGGTTGGGCATGGGGGACAGGCAGGCATGACTTTGCTTCTAGGCACCCCCAGCGCCTGTCCTACTTTGGGGCTTCAATCAGTGCTTGTTAAATAGCAAAGAGCTCCTGGGGCAGAGGCCAGCTTACACGGAATGTACACTGATAGGAGTTCAGAGCGTGTCTGTGGAGCAGCCAGGGGCTGTGGGCCTGGAATCCTGGAGGAACAGGGTGCCTGACCTTAGGGAGCAGCTGCCACACTCCCACTACCACGTCCTCCTCCGGGCCTGCAGCAGCATGAAAATTGTACAGTCTCATTACCCAGTGACCCAAGAAGTGCAATGAAGTTGAACATTAGTTGGCATAATTAGTGAGACAGGTAAATAGTTCCCTGTCAACACCAATCAATCCGTTCTGCATATAATCAGCTCAGCAGAGGCAGGCAAGGGGCTCCTGCAGCTGCAGCTTCTGCTGACAGGCCGGGGCATTAGGTGGGAGCCGAACCCAGACAGCGCGTGCGGCCAGATACCCTAAACCCCACCCACCCATCCACCACAGGTCCTTCTACATGCTTTTCACGGCATGAGCACCTCCAGGGTATCCTTGGTGATTCTATCCTGGGCATCCAGCGTAATTCCAGCTGAACTCCGAGGGGCCCACAGCTGCAGAGTCCCTATACTCTCTTACTTTCTACTTTTGAGTTCCCAGTCCATCGTTTCGACATGTGTAAAATCCATGGGAGCTCTCATTTTCTGGCTAGTGAATTGGCAGAGGCTTTTTAAAAATTAAAGTATAACTTCGATACAGTAAAATTTTCCCTTGTTCATGTACAGACTTACAAGTTTCAGGAAATGTACACAGTCGTATAACCACCACCAGGATCAAGATACAGAACATTTCCCTAGCCACAAAAAATCTCCCATGACCTTCTGTAGCCAACTGATTCCCCGACCCTGGCCCCTGGCAACCAGTGATCAGTTATCTCTCCTTAAAGTTTTGCCTCTTCCAGAATGTCCTATGCATGTCTGGTTTCTTTTGCTTAGCACAATACCCTTGGGATTCTTCCATATGTGGCATGTCAGTGGTTAGCTACTGTTTATTGCTGAGTAGGACTTTATTGCATGGATACTATAGTTTATCCATTTTCCAGTTGAATAACACTGCATTGTTTTTAGTTTGGGGCATTTATGAATAAAGCCACTATAAATATACATATATAGGCTTTTGTAGGGACATATTTCCAGTCCACTTAAATACCTAGGAGTGAGGTTGCTGGGCCTATGGTAGGCGTACAGAAAACTCTCTAAGAAACTCCCGAACTGTTTCCTAAAGTCCTGTACCTCCCACAAGCAATGTATGAGACTGAGTAGCTCCACATCTGTCAGTGCATAGACTTTAAAAAAAGATAATATACAGTGCTGCTGACAGCAGGGCCAGATACATATTTCCAGGGTCCACTGCAAAATGAAAACATGAAGCCCCTTGTTCACAAAAGCAGGAAAAAGTGTTATTAATGGTGCTAAAATAGAAAGCTGCTTCTTTCTTTTGCAGTCTTTCAACTTCTCATGGTGATTTTTAAAATTCACTATTGAATGTTTAAAGGAAAGAAAAATTAAAATTCAAAACCATTAGCATGAATTTTACCATCTTTATGTTGTGCAATGCCAGTTTAAATGCATTTAACTTGTACGTAGAATCACCAGAATTACAAAGTTTGTATTTCGTTTGTGTGTGCACATGTACTTCATTCCTACCAGAAAGTGGAAATGCTACACAAATGAACTCAACTGTGTTTACTTCACTTCTTAATATGTGCATGTTCTACCAACACTCTTTACCTTTGGCTTATTGGTGAGTAAGGGAGGACAGAAAAGAGAAGGGACTATCCTCTTCCTCTTTCTTTCTATGTCACCATCTTCTGCATAGAGTGGTTGGCTTATACAGGCAAGAAAGTAACACGAGTAAGAAAGCATACTGTAGGATTCCTTGGTCATTATCATCTCTTAGAAAGTCATTGCCCTTTTCTGCACTTGAAGCAAATTCTGGTTCCAACAAAAAGTGTGACGTCTCAGGTCTGTGATCTCCCCAACTTAGTCATAGATGTAAGATACTTTGCCTGCACTTTGAGTCTCAGTGACCTCCCAAGGCTCATGGGCACTTGGAATGCTATATGCCTGGCGTGCACGCCTATCTTCTGCTCACACCACCCTTGACCTTCACTTACAAAACCAATGATCAACTCATTAAGCATTTCAAGATGGTGACAGCAGAGCATGAAACCAAGTGTAGGATCCTCCTAAGCATGGGGCCTGTGTGACTGCACAAGTCACACAGCCAGGAAGCCAGCCCTGGGTGACTGTATGGAGGAATGAGTTTTCTCAGAAATGCATTATTTGTGAAACCAAATTAAAATATTTCTGACATATAAAAAAATGCAATCTTTGAAATCCTAGTTAATTGCCTGATTTTGCGTATGGTTCTTTACCTGCTCTTCTACCTTGTGCTTTGTCTCTGATGAAATGTCCTTTCTCTAGAATGAAGACCAGAACTCTTGCTCTTTCATTATAGCACAGTGCCGGCCCAGGCCAGGGCACCTGAGGGGTTCTGGAAGTTTTGCTAGTTTTCAGAGAAGCCCGCTGCTCCGGAATGAGCTCTCCCCACCACCCCGGCTCTGTGTGGGCTGGGGAGTGGGGAGCAGGAACTCCGAGGCTCCCCACGTTACCCACCCCCCAACACACACAGCTGAGAGCGGGTGGGATAGGAAGGTTGAAGATAGAAGATGGTAAAGGAAGGAACACATAAGCAGCTTATCCCTGGAACATCTTCTCTCTGACAACTTAGAGATCATTCTGATGAATTTCATAAAGCTCTGGGGGCAGGTCAACAAATGGCCAGAACCTGCCCAGGGTGCCGGAGGAGGCCCAGGCCTCCCAATAAATGCCATTTTGTAATCTGACTTTCTCTCGCTGGTCATCAGATTGTCACCTAACTTAGCTGAAGCTTCTAAGCCTTAAATTATGGGTCAGCTGACGTGACTTTGCCATAATGTGGTTGTGTGATTTCAGGCACAAACGCTATATTTGAAATACAGGTGCCAAAGTAGATTTTAGTGATATGATTTGAATCATATGGCTGGCTGGCTACTGCGGGTAGGAACCACGACACCCATTGCCCTGGGAAGAAGGGGGCCTCATTCCTGTTCTAGCACAGCCTGGATGCCAGGACACACACTGGGCCTGGGCCCCTGCCATTCCCTTCATACCTGTTGGAGGGTAGGTAAAACCACCATTCAGGTGTGACCCTGGAAGAGGCAGGCCCAGCTCCTTGGGGCCCAGGGGCTGCTGGGACCACACCCACCACCACCAGTCTCAGAGGGGGTGGAGTGGGAGGCCTGAGAGGTGAATGCTGTAATCCTTTCCTCCTCCCTGACTCGGGGCCTCGCTGTCCTCCCCACCCTGTCTGTGGAGAGTGGGCGATGGACCTTGGGCTCCCTTCCTGGCCAGTTCATGCACAGGCCCGCTCGGTTACTGAAATCAGATCCTACACATCTTCGGACCTAGGAAACAGGCCTTTGATCAAACTAAACATTGGGGATGTAGAAATGAACCAACTGCAGCCCCATCCCTCCAGGAAAGACAAGCAATAACAGGAGAATGTGAGAAGCGTTTCTTTTCATCGGGGCCCACCTGATGAAATGCTCGAGGGCCCACGGTGGGCTCTGCACAGCCTGCACAGGGCCCCATGGTCCCTAGAGTCCGTGGGAAAGAGAGCAAATGAGAAGTCACGGCATTGAACTGTTAAGGTCGGGGAGCAAGAGCCATGGGAATGCAGAGCAGAGAGGCCTGCCCTAGCCCAGGGGTCACCAGCCTCTCTAAAGTCATGACGTGCAGGGCAGTGGGAAGTGGCCCTGGGGAGGTGGGCGGCAATGGGTGCCCCAGGAATGTAGAGGTTGTGTGGGCATGAGAAGGGGGAAGAGATGAACTCCAGGGGTCACACCTCTGGAAAGCATATGAGGACTCCCCGGGGAAAACGCCCATCCTTCTGCCCTGCTCAGCCTCTCTCAGCCTCCCTCAACTTGCCCAGCTGTCTGCTCCCTCGCTTCTGGCTTGTCAAAGCCAGAATAATAGAATGAGACATGTGGGCCTGCAGCCAAGTCCTGCCAGTTACCAAGGCCTGGCTGGGAAGGGGCCAGGCCAGGAAACGGCTGCTTCCCAAAGCACCACAGGCGAATTAACACCCCAAGTGGGGCCTTTCTCCCAAGTCTCCTTCCCTCCCTGACCACCTGTCCCTTCACCCAGCCTCCTGACTCCCTCTATATATATTTTTTCTTTTTAGTAATTTATATATATATATATATATATATATATAAAATAAATATATATATATATAATATTATGTGTGTGTGTGTGTGTGTGTGTGAATATATATATAATTTTAAGCAGAGAGACCTGGGAAGGAGTTGAGAGTCACAGCAAACAGAGATCAGAGATTCTGGAACCCACTCACCCCGACTTCCAGCTGGAGCCCCAACTGCCCAGGACTGTCGGAGGAAACACAGGCTGTGGTTGGCGGTCAGGCTGGTGCAGCCCCCAGCCTGGCTGTGACCTGGCCAGGCAGATGGAGCTGGCGATCTGGGGGTGGGACGGGAATGCAGGGAGAGGTCAGGGCTGAAAGAGACATCCTGGCCCTTAAGAGCTGCGAACACCCCGGCACAAACAACACCCCCAGGTTTCCAGTTTGCACCTTCAGGTAAAGGGAAACTTCCCTGTGTGCTCCCTTGAGGGTGAAGAGCCCATCTGCCAGAATTCAACACTGAACACATTTTTTGACTGCCCACAAGCTCCTCAGTCTTCCACTGTCAAACATGTGCCCAAGAATGCTCATTACAGCATTTTTACTAACTGGGAAGAATTGGATGTTTAGGATTAGAAGACCTAGACCAAGTACCACAGACTGGAGGGCTCAAACAACAGACGGCTCTGGAGGCCCGACACCCAAAACCAGGGCGCTCGCGGTGGGCTTCTTCCGGCCTCCCTCTGCCTGCAGATGGCAGCTTCTTCCTGCATCTTTACATGGTCCACCCTCTGGGTGTCTGTGTCCAAATTTCCTCTTGTCACAGACAGTCTGCTGCAGTTACAAAGAATGAGGAAGATTTATATGTATTGGTGGGGAAAGACTTCCAAGCTTATTGTCAATTGGAAAAAAAATAAGTCACAGGACAATATGATACTGGTATCAGTGGTTCCCTCTGGAGAGAGAACAGGATTAGAGGCAAAGAGAGAGAGTGTGAGAGAGAGAGAGAGAGAGAGACTGGATTATTGTTCTCAATTCCTCACTTCCTCCCTTGCCCTGGCCTTGCACTTGTGGCCTTTCCTCCTAGGGGCTGAGTCTATTTCTCTGCCCTGTGGATGTCAAACCTGCCCTGGTGACGGTTTGGCCAGTGGACCTTTGACAGGTGCGTGCAGAGTAGAGGCCTCAAATGTGCTTGCTTGGCATAGCGTAGCTTGGTCTCTTGGCTGCTGTGGCCCTCAGGTAGTTGAAGAATCTACCCCCAGGGAATGGCTGGTCCCAAGATATTGTGGAGACCTGATGAGCAGAGCTGAGCCCACCCCAGCCTGGAGATAGCCCAGTGGCTCACATACCCATAAGCACAACAAATGCATCCTTACCTTGGAAACATTATGTGAGTAAAGGAAGCCAGACACAAAGGGACAAATATTGTATGATTCCATGTTTATGAAATACCTAGAGTAGGCAAATACTAAGACAGGAAGTAGATCACAGGCTACGGGAGTTAGGGGGAGAGGGAAATGGGGGGAGGATATTATTGCTTCGTGAGTGCAGAGTAGGTGATGAAAGAGTTCTGGAAATGGACAACTATGATGGTCGCACAAAGTTGTACTTAATGCCACTGAATTACACACTGTAAATGGTTAAAATGGTAAATTCTGTGTTATATGTATTTTACCACAACTTAAAAAAAGAATGTAGTATACCCATTGAATTTAACACTATAAATGGGTGAATTGTATGGTTGTGAATTACATTTCAATAAAGCTATTTTTTTTAATGTTTTCTGCTACTCTTAATTTTTATTCTCCAAGGTAAACCTGAGAATAATTTGGTCCTGTTCCTAAAAAGACCTGTGGTGTTTAGACTGGAGTCATAGGGGAGAATTAACATCTTTACATCACTGAGGCTCTGTAGTCCAAAACAAGACTTTTTGTATACCTCAAAAGTTTTTAAAGTTTTTTCATTTAGGAACGTGAATCCTTTTAGGATTCTTGATACTTACTACCTGTACTAGTTTTCAATTACTGCGTAACAAATTACTACAAAGTTATCAGTTAAAACAGCACATGCATTAATCATCTGTTTCCATGGTTCAGGAATCCAGGCTAAAATCCCACTGTCAGCCCAGCTATGTCCTCCTCTGGATCTGGGACCTTCCAAACTCACTCAGGTTGAATGTAGAATTTAATTAAAGCTATTTTTTAAAAAAGAAAAATACATGCTTCTTGTTTAAGTCATTATATTTTGGGTGATTAGTTAAGCAGCACTAGTGTGGCAATTTTTGACTGGCACAGTATGTATTTTATAATGAGCACGTATTATTTGTGTAATACAAAATACACCAAAACAGAATGCACTGGGTTCCCCCACACAGGCCCCTCTTCCCTGTTCAACTGTACAGTGGTAGGACTGGGTTGTTTCTGGACATTGCTCATCCTGATTTAGAGTGACAGCTTTTCTCTCTATCCTTGGCAGCTACCCAGACCCAAATCCTAGCCATTCCTGTAGGATGCCTCCACCTGGCTCCCTCCTCTTGGTCCTGCAGCCATCTCCCAGGACGTGCTCTCATCTCCCTGGGCCTTGTTCTTCCCCAGGGTGTTGTAGTGGGGAATAATTCACAACACACTTCCATTAAGTTACCCTGAGGCTGACTCTCAAAACATATACACACATGCAGTTACACTTTCCACTCTGCAAAATGGGTCTACAACAGCCTCTACTGCCTGTCAGTACCCCCAGATGTATGTGAAGATGTCCTGAAATTGATTGAGAAGGTGCTGCTGCGGGGGTTCTGGCCACTGGTCCTTTCCCATATGCTCTTCCTACAGCCTCAGGTTCTTACAATTTGCATGTGAAAACCTCCAGCTCGGCAAATAAAGGCAATGTTCAACTCAAAACACTGGTTCAAAAGTTGTAGAAGTGAAATTACTAATTACTGAGACTTCCAATTCAAAACTGAAAGAACCAAGTTGATAAAATTGACGAAAATTATTTTTATAAGTGATTTTTAGGGTATAACTTGAAATGCGCTTAAGGAATTGAGTTGTAGTGCTGAAACAAAACTCCACCCTTTTTTGTTTCTTCATGTGAACAGTTTCTCAACATTGACATCTGCAAATATGAAAAAACAGGAATAGAATTTATGCTGAACCCATCTCGTTCTAGCAAAAAATAAGTTAGACAAGCATATATGAATTAAGTGGGATTAAAAAGTCCCATCCATCTCATGGATTTGTTTTGGATAAAATTTTACATGTCTCTTTAATTTAATCATTATTCTTCAAAGCTACAAATACACTTATGATTTTTATTAAATGGGTACTTATAAAAATAATGTCAATTTAGAAGAAAATGTTGACACTTAGAGACTTACGTTCACAGAAAACAAAATTCAATTTATGTATATATTTTTGTTGCTGAGAGACTTGTTAGGGTGCTCATTAACAGACATTCAAACAAAATATGTATTGTATGGGGAAGGATAAAATTCTGTTGGGGGAAGTAGACTGGGGAAAATAAATGTAAATGTACAAGTGTTAAAAAGGAGCTTATTCATGTATATTTAAAACAGTTAATAGTTTGTATGGAATCTACAGGATATTTCGATTTCATTGGATGCAAGTTAAAAAATCATAAGCAGTTTTTAGAAAATCAGCAAATACATACCGAAAACTATATCCTTTGTACCCGTCTGAAAGTTTAGCTATTAACTTAACGTTATGCTGGAAGGTGTCTAGATATTTCCAACTTATTTTCAGGGGATCACGTGATGAAACACGTCCGGAAGCCGCCGCTGGTGTGCGGGACGTGGTGGCCGGAGCCCGGCGCTGACTGGAACCCTGCCCACGCACCCTCACCGCGCTGCTCGCCGTTCCAGCTGGAGAGCGCGCGGCACCGCCTCGGGTTTCAATGAAGGGCGGTTGCTCAGAAGTTGAGGTTGTTGCGGCGTCAGTGAGCCGTCACACAGAAAGCGTTTCGCGGGAGGAAGGCGCGAGTCCACCCCGCCTCGTGGGGGCCGGGCGAGCCGGGAAGAAGCCGCGGAGGAAGGCAACGGGTTCAGGGTTTTGCAGAGGAGGGGACCTTGGACCCGCAGAGGATCACACTGGAGATCCCGCCACAGGAAGGTGCTTGGCGGAGGAAAAGGCCTGTAGGCCGGGACAGCAGCCGGGGCAAAGGCCTGCAGGTGGGAAGGGCTCGTTCCCGCGGCCTCCGCGCTGCTCTCGCCGAGGCCCTTCCGTCCCCGCGCCCGGGCTCGGCCCTCGCTCACTCTCTCCGAGCCGGGCCTGCGCTCGCGACCCCGGCGGGCAGGGAACGCGCACCACCCGTTGCTCCGCCCTCGGTCGGCACAGCCGGCCAGCGGGGCCCGCACAGCGGCCGGAAGGGGCCGGGGCCGCTCGCGCCTCCCGCGTGTGCAGGCCTGGGCTCCGCGGCCGGCGAGGGAGCACGTGTGTGTGTCAGTGCACCGGCGCGCCCGGGAAGTCTCTGACACTTGGTGGCACCGTATGAAACAGATGGAGACACTTAATTTAGCGGGGCATCTGCAGCCGCCTCCCCTTGTTGTCCACCTCCCACAAACAGGTGTGGGGCTGGATGCTCACCCCTGCGGCGGTCCCTGCCGGCTTCACGGAAGCCCCGCTGCCCTCTTGCGCCCTCCCGCGCCGGAGCAGACCCGAGCGGGCTGGGCGCAGCGGCCGCCGGGTCGGCGCGGACGGGGAGCGGGAGGCGCGGGAGGCGCGGGAGGCGCGGCTGGTGCCCTGCCTCGGCTCCGCTCCTCTCCCGCTCTTGCCCGACTCGTCACCTTCCCGCCTCCCTCTCCTCCTTTGCCCATTCCTCCCCTCTTTCTTTCTAGTTCGTGCAGTTTAAGTCTTTCAAATTATTTAAATTTGTAATGAGGTGATAGATTAACATAGTTCAGATATTCTATTTTTAGCTATTAAAAGGTATGGAGTGAAAAGTCTTCATCTCAGAAAAACATCAGACAGATCCCCAAACTGAAGGAC